ACAAATAAAAGTTAACATTCATTATATACAGGGCTTAATATGTATTTATGACTAACAAGTTTAAAATTTATTAAATGTAAACTTAATGTCAGTCAAATTATTTTTATGAAATATTGGTTAGAAAATATTACCGAGTCATCACAATTGCACCAGCTAATTTTCTTATACAATTATCCTTAGAATTTCTTGTGTCTTCCTGTGCTATATTTGTCATCTGATGAAGTACACTATCTCGTCTTAAAACTTTATGAACTGTATCTACTGCCATCATCATGCCAGTTTCATGTTGCTGGATAGAAGTAAGAACTCCTCTCCACAATTCAATGCTGCAATAAAAATTATTTATGTATTAAATATATGTATATTTGTTCCCTCTTTTTTGCATTTATCAAGTAAATATAAATTTAAAAATTTTACTTATGTTCTGGGATTTCTGATACTTCGAATTTATCAAAAAAGTGACGGCCCAACAACGAAAATTCTAAATGTTGGAGATTTCTGAAAAAGAAAAAAACTATTATTTAATATTTCAAAAAATAAGTCAAAATAATTATGAATAAAATGAAAATTAATTAACAAATTTCTTTCATTCATTAAGTACAAAAGTTTTCTACTTGTACTTAATGCAACTGAAGGCTTTCATTGTACATTCAAAGTCATAATAATATGTGAATTTATTGGATGTTAATTTCTTATGTGTTTATGTGTGGTTTTGTATTTGATTATGCAATGTAAATCTTTTGTAACCATTGGCTATTCAATCTTTTGATATTATCAAAAGTAATTAAGACTGGACTCGTGTCTTAGGAAATTTAATTTGCCAGATTTTTTTTGCTTGTATTGTTGAAAGAAATCAATACTTAGATCAGAAATATATGTTTTGATCATGTTCTCATCAGTCTTGAGATTAATAAATACTCTTGCACTTTTCAGAACAACTTGCAGTTTGTATTGTAGTGCATTGTATAAACATCTGAATTTTAGACATGTTTTTGAGTATGCCAAAATGTTGGTGGTAAGAACAATTTAATTTGTATTTGTGTGATTAGATATATTGATAGGAGGTTTACTGAGATTGATACATAAAATTTTAAAAAGAAATGAAATATGTTTAAATAAGAAAATTATTTAAGTAATGAATACTGAAAACTATAACAAGGAACATGGGTTATAAAAGCAACAGCTAAACTTTAGTGAATGAAACAAAACAATAAAAAATTTGAATATTTAAAAAAATGCTTTTATTGATTATGTTTTTGAGATTTTGGAGTAGAGAGGATGGGGTTGTGGCCACCCCCTAAAACATTAAAATAAATTATCATTGGATTTAAGTATGTCCTCAAGCTTTAAGCGTTAGAAGTGGCTGAAATTTGATTTGGAAGATTTGAGGATGTAATACAAAGCCAGTTAGTGTTTAAAAAAAAATACAAGATTACTTTTTAAAATTTTTATTGCAAAGTAATTTTAAAATATTCATAAATAAAAATGATTAAAAAGCATAAATTTTATTGAAGAGTAAAGAGAATATGAAAACCGGCTGTCCAAAAGTCAAGCAATACAGTATTATGTTGTAAAAAGAAGTTTTATTCCCGGAAAGATTAAAAGACTTGTCTATTTTTCAAAACATATAAGTTTCGGGTTTTTGTGATGACTGTTATACCCCGTTCGCACCGAGCATTTCGATCTAGATTGTGACTAAGGTCGGAGCCTGTTCCGTGGTGCGAACGCTCTCGACCGTTTCAATCTCGACTGAAACGAGGTTCAATCGCGATCGACTGGAATATTTGTAATAGGAATTTATTATTGTCACGGAATGCCTGTAATGTTCACTAGGGGGAGAATAACGAAAAACCGGATAGATTTGAACCGCTACGATAAAATGATAAGTGAAATAGTTAAGCTAATATTTTAATATAATAATAGAAACCTTTCATGGCACGACCAAAGAAATACGCCACTGTGGGGGAACGTAAAGCTGCCACTGCTGCGAGACAAAGGGAGAGACGTGCGCAGGAAACATTACAGAGAATAGCACAATCAACACGTGGAGGCTTGCAGAATGAAACTCATGAGCTCAGATCTGCAATGTTGCACAGGCAGGCAGAAGCAAAACGACACAGAAGACAAAATG